AAAATGGATGTCAGTGTCTTATATATGGTGGGTAGAGACGTGATGGGGCGGTATTTGCTCGGATATGTGATATCCTGATCTTTGGGAACCAAGTGAGTGATCCCAGTAGTGAAGAGGCTAGGGAGCGACTTCTGGTTTAGAGCCTCTTGAAACTGACGGGTGAGCACAGCGTGACACACCATGAACCCCTTCAGCCAGTAGTGATGCAGCCCGTCGAGTCCCGGACTTTTCCAGTTCGAAGCCCTACAGACCGCCTCAGCCACGTCTTCCGGCGTTATGGTGGTGATTGTTACGCCTATGGGCCCCCCATGGTAATCACTCTGGCTCGCCACGACTTCCATCTAAGGGCCCTCGCTGTGGTTTACGGGCTCTGACCACGGGCCACGCCAAATTGCGACAGTGTCGGCCTGATCCGGTTCTGGGCTCGCACCATGTAACTCTGGTCACTCCAGTGATTTAAAGAGCCTCTTCTGATCACTCTGAAAGAGACGATTCTAGTTGAACCGCCTTGACCTCTTGCTAAATCGCTTCCCCCAAGCAGCGGTCTTTTCCTTCAGGTTATCTATGCGCTCCGTTAGTTTCTGCGTGATATCCGGCTGGGACAAACTGATATTTGTCCGAGCAAACGCCATTCTAACGATGCGCACAACCCTCGGTCTATTATTACCCGACCTGAAGCTTGTCAGTCTGCCGATAAGGGCCCTTGCCTTAGCGATACGGTCTTCGATTATTTTTCTTCAGGCTGGGATGGTGCTACTTTTTCGAGTAGCACGTCCAGCCATGGGAAGTTCGGCGCCAATAATACGGGATGTTGCCAGTGCGGCGCCAAAAAGAATTGAGTCCGTCTCGCAAAGGTCCCCGGCTGGCTTCCAAATAGGTCACCAGCATTGGGTTAAGAGCCCACACGACAGCCCGATTTCGCTTGCTAAGGGGTATGCAGGGAAGTCACGGTCGATTTTCGATGGGCATGCTGCCCGTTTCCAGCATCGACTCTTCCAATATGCTTCTCATTTTCTCTAGTTCGTGGGAGACTAATCCGTCATCGTCTGAATCAACCACTAATGGAATATTGACGGCAGCATCTACATATGCAGTTTGCTGCGCAACTAGTGACGCCACATTCCCAGCCGTAGCGTTTTCATTCGATGAGGGAACAGCTTCACGTCGTAGTCTTTCGAGTTCGGCGTCACCAAATATGTTGGAGCGCAGGATATACCGAACTCGGTCTGCCAGGTTTTGCGCAGTGACAATCCGAGCCCGATACGCTAAACATCCAGTTTCTTCCCCTTTTACCCATTCGGCTGGCGGCCCGCATGCTGTCACGTCCAGCGCTAGCTCCAGACTCGCCTTGGCGACCTCCAGGCAGCGGCCCTTTGCGAACTATCTTTTTATCCATCATCATATTTGGGCGTCCATTAAGGGGAGACGCCCAGGCATGGCACCGTATCGTGCGTGGCCATAAGCGCAAACGGGCCTTTGCACCCTAAATTCTGCCGAGGCACGGCGCTCACACCTCTCGCAAGGCGCTGACTGACTGCGTTGACGTAGCAGTTTTGTCACTTAACTGTTAGGTCAGCGGGCAATGGGGTTGTCAATTCCCTACACCATTTTATTATTTATAAGTTATCTGGGGGCAGTGCCCCCGCCAAGTCGAGCAAAAAAGCGGCACGGCCGTACCATACTTTTCTCGAAGCAATTCAGGCCATTTTCGAACCCCTATAACTTCGTAGTGGAAACTAGAAGCCTGAATTTTCATTAACCGAGTGTACATTGCATAAACATGGTATATTTCAAATTTCATTTAATTTGAACCAGTAGTTTAAGAAGTATAACTAGTCAGTTTCTTAATTTTGTCACTCACTGACTGACCGATCATCATAATTCTAAGGCATTTCTAGCAGATATAGAAACTTCAAATTTAAAATATCATTTTTTTAGTGTATAAATCAAGGAAAACCTAAAATATTTTCTGATTTCGGTCCAGTTTTCTAGATACACTAACTGCATAAATAACATTGTAATCCCATTTAAATATATAGAAATACAAAGTTACATTTGCAGTGAATAAATCAATGTACCTTTATATAGGTTAAATAGGTATATTTTCAAGAAGTAGAAGTAATCGGAATAAAAGATTTTTAACATTGATATGTCACTATAAAACGTTCTTTGGTCAGCTAATTACGTAATAATTTAAAACAGAAGGACCCTTAAGTAGGGACTGAATAAATTAATCCACTTGGTATTACATGTATCTCTCAACTTTTTTACGGTAGAAGTGATGGAATTATTATATTTTTAATATTATTATAAATACTTACAAATTTGATATAATTAATTTTAGTGTTAGAATTGAATTGAATGAGTTTAATATTACCCTATGATCCTTGTTCCACGCCTGTCACCCAGAGGGGTAGGCAGAGACTATGGACTTTTATTTGGCTCGATCCTGACGTACCTCTCTCACCTCTTTTAAATCCATATATCTACGCATATTTGCTCGTCGGTTGAGGGTATTCCTAATATGGTAAAATATCGCCAATTTGGTCGATAAACTTTCATCTAGCGCGTCCCTTTCTGACTCTGCCGTTCACATCTGCCATATAAATTTGTTTTGTTGCTCTTTCCTCATTCATTCTTTCTACATGACCAAACCACAGAAGCATTGCTTTCTTAATCCTTGTCACAACATCATCTTGCATACCATTTTCTTTTCACACAATTTCTCACTCTGTAATTCAGATTTAACTATATATTTTATTTCAGATTTTAACTATATAATAGATTGGGGGATGAGTCACTCGCGTCCGTAGACTTCGACCACGCCCTAGGCTCACCCTACACGTGTCCCGGGGTAGTGCCGAACGAGCGACAAAGCCGAAAAAAGAGACTTGGCTCCTAGGCGTATGGTAGCGGCGTAAAAACTACCTCCCCCCTATTTCACACCATGAGGAATGATATAAAATAAATGAAAATTAATATGACATCTTCAGAAAACTCTCTTAAATGTATATTCATTTAATATCTCTGATCAAATCAACCAATAAAAAAACTTTTTTTAAAAAAAATGGTTATAGTAGAAGTTCGGTGCTCAGATGTTTTCTGATTGGTTTTCCACAACAAAACAAATTTAATAGATTAATAGATTAATAATAACATTTAATAGATTTAAGCTGAAAGTTTAATTATTCTCAGACATCTTCGTTATATAAATTAAAATTTATTAAAGAATATGGTGACAAATGAGCGTACAGTCCTGATAGTAAATGGAGGCTGTGGAAGTAAACCCTTCTATTGTCACAGATTATATTTTCAGTTACTTATTTAAAATTTGCATCTTTTATCATATGGAAAGTGTCAGTATTGACTAAATACATGGAAAGGAAACTTATAGTAAAGCGCGTAAAGGCGGCAACGCTCTCGTCGCTAATTGGATGGAGTGAACCGTTGACACTTACTTACTTACTTACTTACTTATCTTCACGCACAATCCCTAACGGGGTAGCCAGATAGAACAGATCGCCAAGTGTCACGATCCTTACATACCTCTTTCGCTTCCTTCAGGTTCATTAACTTCTTCATACATGCACGTCTAGGTATCCGAGTACTCTTGACCCTCCCCTCTTCGAGCAATTTGCTCACATGGTCTTCGAAAGTTAGTCTCGGTCTACCTCGACACCTTTTGATATTTACTTTCGCTCTATATATTTTCTTCACCATTCGGTCTTCACTCATTCGTTCAACGTGCCCAAACCATTGGAGTACGCCCCTATCAATTTTTTTTATAAATCATTTCATTTCCCTGCACGTAGTTTAATGAGATGACCCTTTTGGTGTTAGTTGATTTCATGCGATTTAATTGGGTCCGTGCAATAATTTCATAAAAATATTCAAATTATTCGAATAAAGATACAATCTAAACTTGTTAATTTGATACATATGTGAACAAGAACGAGGTGTTTCTGAATGGGTGATCCATCATGCGACTGCTAGGGACCCTTGAACAAGATCGTAGTCACAGTAGTAATCCGGCGAATCTGCCAGTTCTTAACTCGTCGATCTACGCCTAAGCCACATTACGTTGTGTTCGAATCAACGCAAGGGGTGTCTCCTTCGATAAAGTCTGTTTTAGAAACACACACGTCTGGTCTTAACCTCTCCACTCCCTAGCGATCTCATGAGACCGCGGCCATATTCCCTCAAATCCGTAGCGGTCGTAGAGGTCGCACCCACTTACAGCACTTTAACCCATAAAAACTTATATATAGAGACTACTTTTCGATGAAGAAGTTTGGCATTATTTTATTTATTTATTTATTTTCTACTATACAATTATCTTTACAGGTTTATCACCTAATGCGATAATGTAGACAACTATTTTACCAACTCCAACTACACAGTTAGAAGCTAATAATTTTCGATTATAGATATGTACTTATTGCTATATCAAACACGTATAACCCACCCAGAGTACAACAAAATATATCTATGTCTTCTGCTATACGGTTGAGGATACGGAGGGCGCGCGTAAAGGGCGCTTCAGTCACCAGCTTAGTGTGGCCGCGCGGCACAGCTAGCAGCTGCGGCCGCCGCGCACACGTATCTGTCCGGAACACATATGCGCACTTGTTGCAGTACGTGTGGATTGTGAATCTTTCCCCTCATCACCTTAAAGATATATGAAACAAGCGCTAAATTCCTCGTAACCTTTAGCTCATTGTATCCTACCATACCTAAGGTGAATAAGGTAGGATACTTATTTGGGTAAAATGGGTATACTCCATACATTTTTTGATATAAATATCTAATAAATATATTCTGCACTCTCTCCAACATGATACTATACTTAGTCTCATGTGGAGACCAGATGACCGCGTTGAATTTTAATTGGCTCCTCACTAAAGAATTATATAATGCAATAACTGCCTTTATATTATTGAAGTCCCTAGCTACCCGTAGTACGAAAACCAAATTTCTGTAGGCTTTCTTACAGATTTTAGTTACATGCTCTCCAAATTCTAGTTTAGAGGAGAAATTAACCCCTAGATCTTTGACTTTTGACACTTTCGCTATTGGTACCCCGTTAACCTGGTATTGGTACGTAACTGGAGATAGTACACGGCTGAAGGTCATAGTTATGAACTTCGTGATGTTAAATTGTAAGTTATTATGTTTGCTCCAGGCTACCACCCTATCTATATCTTGTAACTTTTGACAATCCTCTCTGTTCCTCACAGCAAGATACAGTTTCAGGTCATCTGCAAATAGAGTACAATGAGCATCTTTGACAACCGTTGGAAGGTCATTTATCATCAATATGAATTGCAATGGACCGAGATTGCTGCCCTGACTTACTCCGGACCTAGTTAAATAGTTTTCTGACCTACACCCCGCATATTCTATATACTGCTTTCTGTTCCGCATATAACTAGCAAAAAATGTTAGTAAATGGGAAGTAAATCCTACACCTGCCAGTTTTGTGAGCAGTATGTCATTATTCACTAGGTCGAAAGCTTTTTTGTAATCCAAGAAAGCTACATGTACCTGTCCTCCAGCATCGACTTCAGGTACAATATAATTCATATAATTAATTAGGTTGCTGGAGGTGCTCCTGTCGGATCTAAAACCGTGTTGCTCGTATGAAAGCTGTACATTAACTTGCGAGAGGATGCTCTTGTGTACTGCAGCCTCCAGTACTTTAGCTGGTGTCGAAAGCACAGCAACCGGCCTATATTGGTCCACGTTTGATGCTGACTTTCCTTTTAGTACTGGGACTACCTTGGTTGTTTTCCATCTATCTGGAAACACTGCCTCCGCCAGGCACTGATTAAATATGTAGAGAAGTGGCTTACCAAGTACTAGTCTACAGTCTTTGTAAATGTAGGGCGGTATGTCATCGGGTCCCGTTGACTTTTTTGGCTTGAGTTTTTGCAGAGCGTAAAGTACTTCATCAAGCTTTAGTTGTTCTAAGTGTACCCTAGCCGCTCCATTCTTACCAATAGCCTGATTCACTGCCGCCTCCATGTCCAGCTTAGACATCTTAGGGCTAAATACCGAATAAAAATACTGAGCAAACTCAGTAGCACACTGCTCACTAGTAAGTACCTTATCATCTTTTAAAATCTAGCGTGGACTTCTGCTGTCTTTTTTTGAGTTAATGTAAGCCCAAAACGCCTTTGGATTTTCCTGAAACTCACTCTGCATCCGGTCTTTATAATTTTTGTACGTGGAGTTTATTAAATATTTTACATACGTTCTACACTTAGCGCAAACGCCTCATAATCGGCCCCTGATTTGCTAACCTTAAACTGCCTATGAAGCCTAGCTTTTAATTGTTTGTTGCGAATAATGTCTATCGTGTACCACTCGGGGTAACTGTACTCCGAGTTTACACGTCTTCGCTTTTTTCTTGGAACGCAGTCATCCATAACTTTGTTTAAATCCTCATAAAAATAATCTAAACTATTATTTATATCTAACCTATAAATTGGCATCCAATCTATGGCCGCTATTAACGAATACATTAACGGAAAGTTTGCTTTATAGAAGTTCCATCCAGTATGCGTCTGATTACTCCCCTCAAACTCAGCTAGCAGTTGCGCGGGTGCGGGCTGCCCGCCCTTCCTCCAACTCTTCTTCCACTGAACGCGTGCTCAAAACAAGATCTAATTGTAAAAGTTTGTTGTACTGGGTGAATTCACAATATGTGCAAAATTACTCAAAATGATTGCGTACATTTGTTGAGCTAGAATATAAATTAAAATCGCCTATCACTATTAAATCATTGTAGCCATAAAACATTATCTTTTATCTTTATTATATAATCAATAATATGAAATACTCTATCGTCTAGTGCACAAAAATGTTATCCTATGAATATTTATTTATAATCTACGCTTATTTCATACCATAAATCAACACCATAACATATAATGTTATTGTGTAGATTTTTGAATTATTCTAGTGTTTTATTAGTGTTTTAGTACAGTGTTTTATTATAAATTTGTAATGAAAGTTTTTGTGTGAATATAATTTATCTTTTAACGTAAATCATTTCAAGTAATATATATTAAAATAATTGTGATTTTCACGCTGCTGACATTCACTTGGTATGTTTTTCTTGTTATCAAAATACTATAAAATATTTTTGAAATGAAGAAAAACTCTTCTCACTCTCATAAACTTTCCCATCGATCCTTAGAAAACCTTTCCCTTTATGTCACTTGCACTCTTCTACATTTTACAGTAAATCTTTTTCAGTTCTTGGAGTGAAGTTTTGGGATTCCTTACCATCAACTGTAAAACGTGCTCAAACAATAGACTCCTTTAAAAACCAAGTTAAAAAACATTATCTTTCCTTTTAAATCATCCCTCCTCCTTTTACCTATTCAACACGCACTGGTTGTACGGTGTCGTTTTCAGGTATTGAGGTATAGCTAACTTTTGCTTACATCCTAATATTTATATAAATTAACGGTGGGTATATGGCGCTGACAGCAGATGCACAAGTCTCCTGCAGATGCTATTTATTAAGTATGTGGCCGTGGAAGGAAAAGGGGAGATATCCCGCCGGGCAAGGTGTTCTGCCCGGGGAGCGGCTCACACTCCATGTGATAGTTCGGAGATATTCTATATATGCTGTTTATGATTCGGAATGTTGATAGCGTGATTTAAGCTTCGGTGTGTTTTGCTTGCGGCGCGACGACAGCGCCGCCACATCACCCCCTGCTCAGACCGGAGGTCGATAGTGCAGTCCGATTGCCGGTGTGTCCTTTTAATGCCGGTGGGGAATGCATGCTGTGTGGGTAAGGGCAAGTGACACCGGTGCGAATAATATGCCGATGTGTAATGCATGCCGTACTACGCACTGGCGAGTGATGCCGATGAGAACGATGTGCCGGAGCAAGTGCCAGAAGTCTGCCTTATAAATCTGCGGTGAGTCGAGATGAAGATAAGTTGGACTGGCTTGCAGGAACTGAAGACTGCAGAAGTCGATTCTCAATAGTGAATGGTAGGGGTTCTTGAGGATAATGACGAAAGCTTGAAGTTGTAGTTTCCGAAGGTGTTTGGTTTCGTGTTCAGATCACGTCGGGGTCACCACTGTGGCGTGTAAGGAAAAGGGGAGATCTCCCGCCGGGCAAGGTGTTATGCCCGGGGAGCGGCCAACGCTCCGTGTGATAGTTCGGAGATGTTCTATATATGCTGTTTATGATTCGCAATGTTGATAGCGTGATTTAAGCTTCGGTGTGTTTTGCTTGCGGCGCGACGACAGCGCCGCCACAAGTATATGTACCAATTTGCCTTATAAAATGTTAAGCAAATATCCGGTTGCAATACCTTTTGGAAAATAAAGAACTCCATAGCCCCCTTCATAGCTCGCTGAGCGACTTTGAGCGTCCTTATATGTCCAGCAGTGAAGGATCACATCTCGGTTCCGTAGGTCATCACTGGCAACACGCACTGATGTACAACTTAGTTTTCAGGTTTTAAGGAATACCTGACGAGAATATGTGTCGTTATTTCGTAAATAAGTAGCGGCCCAGCCGAGTTGAATCCATCAATTGACCTCTCAGTCGAAGTTGGACTTACCTAGTCGAACTAATTGTCCCAGGTATTTGCCAACAACTTCGAGTGTAGTGCTCCCAAAAACTACGGGCATAAGTGTGACATGGACATTAAACATGATCTTTGTTTTGTCCATGTTCATCTTAAGACCTATCCGTTGGGAGATATCATTGAGGTCATTGAGCATAGTGCTAGGTCCTCCAGCGATTCTGTCATAAGGATAGTCCTTCGTCGTCGGCAAATAGAAGGTGAGTGATGTACTCGCCATTGATGTTAATTCAGTATCTTTCCCAGTACAGTAGCTTGAAAATATTATCAAATGCAGCGGTGAAGAGTTTCGGGGAAATAACGTCACCCTGTCTTATACCTCTCTGACGTTGGATAGGTTTCGTACTCTGTACTCGGATAGCTATCATAGCCTTACTGTACAAACACTTCAGCACTTCGCTATACCGACAGTCAACTTGGCACCTCTGAAGAGACTGTAGCACCGCCCAAATTTCGATGGAATCAAAGGCTTTCTCATAGTACAGATACGCCAGACAAAGTGGCAGATTGTACTCTTCGGACTTCTGTACAATTTGCCGAAGGGTATGTATGTGGTCTATGATATTAAAAGCTTTCGGAAACCAGCTCGTTCAGAAGGCTGAAAGTCGTCGAGTGTGCTTGAGAGACGATTCGTAATGACTCTCGAAAACAGCACATAGACGCGGCTCAGAAGGGATATCGGTTTGTAGTTCTTGAAGAGGGCATTGTCACCTTTCTTGAAGAACAAGACCACCGAACTTCTGCTCCACGTCTCGGCATTAGTGCCATCACGGAAGACGGAATTAAAGAGCTTTTTGACTTCAAGACCTGGTTTTCCACCTGATTTATAAAGCTCCGCTGTAATTCCATCCTCACCCGGGGACTTGCCATTTTCAAGGTGCTGGAGAGCCACTCTAATCTTGCTCAGACTAACGTCCGGGATATCATCTGCTCAGACGGCCGTGTAGTGGCGGTTGAGAATATTCACTACCAAATCTTTCCGTGGGTGTCGTAAGAGACGACAGAGGGAGACAGGCAGGAGATGGGCAGCAGCATCTTCCTATTAACAACAATAATATAATAAAAATCTGCCGTTACCAACCCGCTCGTTAATCGTTGTGTAATGCCCCCCCCCCCCCTCTATATATAAATATATTAAATATTTAATATATTAAATATAATCAATTTACTCCTTTTCTATAACATTGTACATTTGTGAACAGAATAAATAAAATATGTTTTGATCTTTCTAAACGATCTTTCAAAAGGCCGTTTGTAAAATTTTGGCGTGACGTCTTATTTAGGACCCTTATTTACGTTGTGTTTGTTTAGTAACTTAGTTTTTTTAGATGTCTTTTGGAAAAAATGAATATTCACTTGAGTAATTGAAAGCTGTTGGTAGTGCCTTATAAGCTAAGTGAACCCCGTTCACGAAGACAGGGCTCGAGAAAGATTAAGAACATAAAACAACCCTATTCCACTTTTATCAGATTTACATTATTAATCTATTATTATTTATCCCTTTCCGCTTGGAAAAGGCTCAAAATATATTTATACGAAATACCCGATACAAGGGCTCCGCTCTCCTACATTTATATAAAAAATGTAGAGGAGGCACACGGCTCCACACACGCCGTGCGCGGTGAGCGCCAACCGTTTTGATGCACTCCCTCCGAAGGGAGCGCTAATTCGGGAACTTGACCGTAGGCCACAGCAAAATAACGGGCGAACCAGCGGCCAGCGGCTTGGCCCCTTGTTAGTGCGTAAGCACAAACATCGACCGAAGTAGCGCATGTCAATGCGTGTAAACGCCATACAGACCAGTCACAGTGAATGTACGTCACACAATTTAGGCAAATAGGCACACTGGCCGTAAACCCACCGTGAGCGCCACCACCTGCCAGAACGCCGCTCCTGCAGACGTGATGGTAGTGTATGGCATCACCACCAATTGCAATATCAGCACGGCTACTAGCCGCAGAGCGTGTCATGAGTCTACCGCTTACCTCAAAGGAACAGGGTCCCACGTTGTGCGGTTTTCTGCCGCAGCCTTGAGAGTCTCCTCAGATCCTCCCTCCAGCTACCACCCGCATGAGGTTGACACATATGCTCCACTAATCAATACAACGGCAGATATAGCCAAAAAGGCAGTTATAAGATGTTAGTAATAATTTGCCATCAGAAAGGGTTTGTGTCACTGACGTTGAGTAAATGCATTTTCGATCATGTTTGTCTCACCCACCAACAAGTTGCCATCAATCATTCAAAGGTGGGAAAGTAATAGATATATATTATGTTGTTATATAAAACGTCATGTATGGCAGACAGTCTGCAGCCCCGCAATGAAGGGACCCGACTTGGGCAAAGCTACTTATGTGTGATTCAAACCAAGACGCAGAGAGCGCTATTGAGAATAGCGTCGCACCAAACAACCATCGCAGACACGC